TCCAAGAAGGCGTCCCCTAAAGAAAAAAGTAAAAGGAACGTTAATGGCATTCTAAAGACAAAGAAAATCAAGAATAATCCCTCACACCAACTTACCTTTATAGCCCAGCCAAAATCCAGGTTCAGGAAGGTGTTCCCTAAAGAAAAGAAGTAAAATGAAAGTTAGAATATTTTCAAGACAAAAAAAGGAAGAATTTTGCACTTACCGTTTGAATTCAAGCCGTTAAAGTTGAAATTTGGAGTATAAGGTCCAGAAGAAGAGAGAGAGTATATGTGTGTATGTGTGTGTATGTGTGTTATGTGTATGTTGAGTGATGTAATACGTAGATTTATCATTATTGTAAAAAAAAAAAATAAAAATAAAAAAAAAATTTATGCTTACTTAAGTCGAATTGACCATCCAATTTGTTCACCAGATATCCGATGATCTATCCCTTCAATCTGGTGATATAAACAGATCAATCTGAATCCAGTCAAATTTTGGATGGATGACCAGATATCCAGATTGATTGGATTCAGAGCACACCTCTAGGCTACATAATAATTCTTGAGACCTTCCTCTATTTTTAATGAAGATGGTGGATCTCTTAGCTGTCTAACAGGTTCAACTGTTTATGAAGCAGGTACTTGCGTTTGCTGAGCCATTTGTGATTGTAATTTTGTAACTTTTTTTATTAATACCTGGTTTTCAGTTTTTTTTGTGCCAATGCATTTTGAATTGCTTTTTGTATATCTTCTAAAGATATTTCTTGCTATTGAGAAGCTGAAATAGGTGAGGATTCATATATTTCTTAAGATGCTTAATTAGATATTAGAAGGTTAAGTATTCTATCTCTTTTATGTCTTGTTATTTGATGTAACTCTATCTCATAAAGCTTTTTAGCTAATTCATCTAATGGCAAATGTTTACCAATATCCTTAGCTTTTTCAAGCCATAGGAGTGAAAGAGTATCTAAGAACTTTCTACGTAATTCTTTAGGTCTATAGTTGGCTTATCTTCTTATTCGTAATAATTTTATATACAATTCATCTATAGTCATATTTCCTTTTCTAATTGTTTCATACATCAAATCCTAAAGCTTCTCTTTTACTGTAGGAAAATGTGTTTTTAGCCACTATATAGCTTGACCAAAATGAATATTAGCTACAATTACTATAATAATATTGTTAGCATTAACAGCAATATTAGTAGAATGACTACCTGCTATACATCAATCTTCATTTCAGAGATCTTTTACAGCTCTTAACTTGACTATTGCATTTCCTGATTGGCCAAAAACTTCATTCAATACTTGATTTCCTATTTGACCTGCATTTTGCCTATTTACTACTATTAAGTTAGCCTGCCTTATATTATCAAGTAAGTTTGCTAATTCTTAATTTTGCTTTGTAGTAATCTCTTTGTCAAACTATTCTAAAGCTTTTCCTCTCATACAGCCTCTTAAATATCCTATAGTTACTTCTCTTCCTGTGGGTGGACCTCCTGCATTATCTGCTAGATCTACCTCTTAGTTTTGCAAATATAATCTTAGTTTTACTAAAAAATTTAGAATACTATCATCTCAGTTAAAAAATGGTTGTGGGATTCCTACCATGTTTATTTGATTTGGTGAATTATTCTATAACGCCAAAATTTATCCCTATAAATTAAAAATATTCTGGCATTTTGCTCAAGTCTTATTTTTCTATTTCTCATATTACTTATAGAGCCTATTTCGATTATATTCTAATAAATCTATATCCCCTCTACTTTGCTATAAGTGGTGAGCATTTTGCTGATACAATAATTGCAAAACAAATTTTTCTTATACTAACACACCTATATAGGCTTGTTTTCTTGTCATATTATCTATTATTCTATTTACCTAATTTTGAGCATTAGTTTGATATTGATGAAGATTACCAATAGCCCTTTCTTTACCCTTCAGCAAATTGCCTTTATATAATTTCATTATTACGTTCAGCTTCTGCATCATATCGCCTTCTTTGCTTACAGGTTAAATCCAGATGTAAATTATTCACTTTTTGGCATATTTGTCTTATTATCCTTTTTATTTGATCTATCAAAATATCCCTGGCTGTTATTCTATTTTTCAGAAAACCATTTATAGTATTTGCTAGCTCTGTAATGGTAGCCATTTCTAAGTTAATATTAGGATTATACAAATCTAGAGAATTTTCTCATTCTAGCGAATTTTTTTGTAATGAGATAGTTCTGATTCAACATCGCAATTTTTCAACCTACTCCTCAAATTCTACTAACTGCTTTTCTAAGCCAGAGATATACCTATCCTTATCTTACACATCTTTTCTGGCTTGATATAGCTAATTTTTTAGGTTAGAGATTTCGGCCTTCAGTTCTGATATTTCTTCCTCTAAAGCATTTTCAAGATGCTCTATCTCTCTATTGAGATCTTGAATTTCTTGTTCACATCGAATATAATCTTACTCCAGTTGATTAATTCATCTTTCATTCTGGCGATTAGTATCAACTTCTGTTTGCAATTCACTACGAAGATGGTAGTTCTCCTTATCTAATTCAACTTTATATTCTTCACATATTCTTTTTTACCTTGGATGAAGTCTGCAAAATAACATTCTTTTTTCATGATTATAAAAGAGAATAGGAGAACCTTTAATTTTTATGTTTCTCAAAAAACGCATGTTTTTGGTCAGAATCTTACTTTGTAAAAGTATAAGAAAAAAAGTACCCTTAACTAATGAGTAGAATATGACTTCATGGATGCTAGCTCTTTTTTTCTGAGATATAATTTTACATTTTTTCCTATTTAACGAATTCTCATAACCTCTTATGTGTGTCTCAAATAAGATCCAATTCGTTCAAACTTCTTAAAAATAGATTCTTACAGAACAGGATCTTTAGAATGGTGTAAGAGCCTCTCATACGCTCTTTTGATAAGACTTTCAGATAATTTATCAATAATACGTTTATAGTTAGAATATAATATTTTATTAGATATAGTTTTGCACAAAAAGTTTGCATGTAAAATTTATCTATAGACTATAGTGATACTATTTACGTGCCTATATGCCTATACTGTGAGTTGTATTATATCTGATAAGAGATGTATTTCTGAAATGCGTAAAGGATTGGTTAGACTCTGATCGCGTGATCAATGGTCATCAGAAGATCTTAACAGTTTTTATCACATGATACAGACATTAGATTCTTTATTAATTCGTTCTGTATTTGCATATCTTCTAATTTTGCAATTTTGGCCTTAAGCTCATGATTCTCAGCCTTAATTTTATTATTCTCAGCTTCAAACTCACTAATATATTGTTTTAATGAATCAATCTCACTGGAACTATTTATTTCAGATTGTATGCTTGCGTAATATAGTATTAGTATATTAATATTTAAAATAAAATATCACGTGTTTTCTGAGATTGCGTGATCCTGCAAATTTGCCAAAAAATTTTTATTATCTGGTATACTCGCTTTATTAATAATATAACTTATAAAAATGCATGTATGAAATTTCTATTCTATTAATTTTTAAGAGTCAAAACCGTTACTGCTATCTCATCAGAACTATACTCACTATCTCTAGAATAGGAATCATACAATATCTTATATATTATATATGCGACAGCTATTTTTAACATCATTAAAGTATGAATAAGCAGGTATATGGCACTTGATAAAGTCATATGTAGCAAAATCAGCGCTTTCTCTATTAGACAGTACTTATAAATACCTAATTCTCTACACATAGCATAAAGTTCCATAACATCACCTGAAATATATAAAAGCAATAGTCAAAGGCATTTTTGCATGATTAAGCATTATTGATTTGAAATACAAGAGTACAATATAAAGAAAAAAATATATATAATAATGCATTACCTGTGATATTTATAGCAAATATAGACAATATATGCCTTTTGGATGAAAGATTGAATACCCTTTTAAGCTTTGATATTTTTCTAGTAGTATTGATAGAATCTTTGGAAAATCAGATTAATTTTTTATAATCTCGCTGATATTTGTCTTAACTGGAATTAGGTTTACCAGTTTCAAGATATACTATTTCAAGCTTTACAGCTTTTTCCAGCTTTATTACAATCATATAATCAGGTTTTTATACGAACTTGCATGATTCTTTTCGTATAGTACTAGCTGAACTTCCTTTTTCACCTCTAATTAGAAGAAATTACTAAGAAAAAGATAGGTTATAAAGCTAACAAATTTTTGGGATGGCACTTCTTGAAAAGATAGCATGATAGAAAAAGAAAATTATAGAGATATTGCTTACCAGATATCCCATATAACAGGATTTTCAGATAAATCACTTATTGCTATATTTATCAATAATATAAGAACTTCACAGACATATGATCTTTCATTAATCGATTTTTCTTTCTTTATATAAGCTTCATACTTAGGTAATTTCCAAACTTTATACTTACAAAAGAATATAGTAAATAGAAATCATGTAGACTAGCCAAGCAAAATTCTAAGATATGACCTAAAAAATAACTTACAAAGACTCTAGTATTTGTCTTGTTATTTCTTGAAGCTTTTCAGAACTATCTAGCCACTTTCCAAATTCTACGTCATGCAAATCTTCATCCAAATTTATTTTCGACTCTTCATTATGAATAAACTCCTTACAGCTATCCAAAATTATATTACTATGTTCTAACACAATAAAGTAATGGGGTCTAACCAAAGGTGCTACGAATAACGTTTATTTTTTTCGATGCACACCCCATTCCACACCATGTTCACACCACCCACACACGATTAAAAAAAAATCAAGCCCGAAATGTGGGTAAAATTTTATTAAATGCTTTATAATATAGACGCAATAAACGTCATGTTTTACAAATTATAATACTTTGCGTTTCATTTTCATTGCGTTAAAAAAAATATAATATATAATCAAAGTAAATCCAAACAGTAAATTATTTTACGGTCACACTGCATTTAATTCCTTTGGCTATAATTAATGTAATAATAATAATACATGTAAATCAGATAGAAGTTTGATCTTGACCCTTTGGAGTGAAATGGGTTGGCCTAATAAACTTTGTTTTAAAATGCTTTGCTTTGACTTGGGATTCCAAATTGTTGCGAAATATCTTGTTATAAGCGTGATTGTATTTTTTTGGATCAGGAAAGAGATTTGCCTTACGAACAACATTTTCCTAAAAAAACAAAAGATATCATTATAAGCATCTATTCACATACCAACAATAAAAAATGGCTTCTTACTTTAAAGAAATATAATGCTTCAAGTGCGTTTCGGAGGCACTTAATGTTTGATAGTTGCGCAGGAAAGCTAAAATGAGGTCCTTCAAGGCCAAAGTAAAGACCATTGTCAAGGAGGTCAACTCCAATTATCTGACCCTCTAGGCCTTTATGTGACGATAAATGTTAACCCAAATATGACAATACACAACAAAATCAATGTGAAGGACTTTACCAGCAAATTGTATTCCAAGGATTACCGAATCTTTGACTGCCTCATCCGATAGGTCTTCTTTCAGAAATTTGTCAAGAACGCCTTTTTCTGTTCTCAGACATTTTGAGCGGTCACGAATAGCCTTGGCACGTGTTGGAGCCTTTGCGCACTCTGTATGACTTAGCTCTATCTCTCTACATTTGTGAACAATTCTAAGGTCAATCTTTCGTCGTCTGTCGGAAATAGCTGACACAGTTTCTCCCCTATATTACATATATACTACTAAGTCATTGCTCATTAGTGTAGATGACAATAATAGAGATGATCTTACCAACGAAGATTCAAAATATCCAAGACGTCATTGAAAACGTCGTTCAGAATCGGTGCTATAATATTTATCACAAACTCCATTTCACTAAGATTCTTTAGCTTTCCACTTTCTTCGATAAACAAATGTGGATTATCAAGGAATTTGTCGATCCTAGCAACAAATTTAACGGCATTAGTATTAGTCAGTTAAATATGTGAATTACATAATTAAAAAAAACCAAGCTCAACATCTTACACATGAAAATACGCGGTTGCGATTTGTTGAACCATTGGAGTATTTTTCTTATTTCTTATTTTAAACAAGTACTCCCGTGCATCAACATAGTGATACAGCCCACACATCTGAGAATGAATAAATGGATTAAGAGATGATAGTCATATGTGCCAAAAAATCAATAAGCACTTACTTCTTCAACTGTATCAACAATCGTTTTAGTTTCACCTTCAAAAAAATTGGGGGTCATATTGACTTGACTGTACACTTTTTCTTTAATGTCATTCCATTCATTCCCGAACCAGTTATACATTCCATTATGAAACTCTGAGGACAAATCTATTATTGATGAAAGCCCCAAACTGTATTTACGGTATATTAGTCACGTTAGTAACTTTTCCATGGTGTACTATATATTATTAATAATACAAATTCATACCGAATAACACTAATGATGCATGCCGTTCGTTCTTTCTTGCTTTTAGCTGAGATCGACTTCACTAATTCGGCAGTGTTTTTTGTAAGTACATCAATGACCCTACGTCCATCTTTCAACGTCCAGTCAGACTCATTATGAGTTACACCCACATACTCATCAAAAGAGATTGTTTCAGGGTTTTTAATGACATAATAGGAATCGTCCTCGCTTTCACTATCAATAAATTCTTCATTGCTATTTTCTTCATTATCCGATCCCAACGGATTAGAAGGCTCAATCCTAATATCTCGCTCGTCATTATTGCTATCTTCTTCATTATCCGATCCCCACGGGTTAAAAGGCTTAATCCTAATGTCCTGCTTATACAAATCCTAATATGCAAGTTGAAATAAATGCATTAATCTGATAATTTCGTAATGTTTGTTGATTTATTATATACCTGTCTCGGTCCACGTTGACGTTTGTGATTATATTCGCTTGTGCGAATATGGGAAGGCGGAGTAACAGAATCGAAATAATCATCTATTGTCCGTTTTGGGACTTTATTATTGTCCTAAAAATTAAATCGCAGTTTATTAGGAATAAGATCACAAAATAAAGTTATAAATAAAAAAACATGCACCTGTAATTCGGTTAATCCAATGAAATTTCCACCATATATATTTCCGTTTACAGTTCCACTGATGCCTGTAATTGTCACTTGCCCACGCGAGCGGTTCTCCTCTCAATCTTTTGCTTTTTTGCGATCTGGTTGGGAATTCTAGCATGGAAGATTTAGAATTAGTATTATTATTCTTTGACTAACTAACGTACCCAATTCAGATTTCCCATCCCACCCGAACAACATCGCAACCAAGTAGGCCACCTGTGCCCCAGTGGGTCCAGTGCTGGATCAGCGAGTAGCCTTTGGCATCAGATAACTAAGTCATCTGTGCGCCAGCACCAGTTTCGTGGCTCAGCGAATAGCCTTGAATGACAGGCGACCGAGTAGGCCTCCAGTCACGCCACTTTCTTTCAAGCTATCTTCCCAATAAAAATAAAAAGAAATTTTTTACTTGCCTCTTTGTATCTATCAAGAAGGGCTCGTGCACTTTCCTGCCTGCTACCTTGATCAGAGTCAGCGATTGCGCGGAGGGATTTTATGTAAAAATCTATTTTTCGGTCAAACGGCTCCAAATCACACTCATTCAGAAAGTCAAGAATGCTCCAATTTTCAGGTTTTCGGTTGAAATATTCGGACATAATTAATGACTGCTCGAGAATCAAAGAATCACTTTATGTAGTCACACAGGTTTGACTGATGGTTAGTCACGTGTGCGTACAACACTACACGAATTAATAGAAACTTCTATTATTATATTAATTTTTTAGATGCAGAAATAGAGAAGCAAGCGAAATAATATGATGCTATCAAAGAGGGAGGGAGTACGCGGAACCTAGGCCATTTAATGCGAGTCCCAGCATCAAGTTATTTCTTTACTCTCTCAAAAATATCTATAACTAATTTATTTATATCAATATAGCTAACTACAAGATTCTCACCCCACGCTCTTTTACTATTCTTAAATATATTATCCCACCCATATCTACGCTTATCTATATCACTACCACCTGCACAGACTATGTAAAATAATATTTCCCGCAAGAGAAGTTTTCTGAGAGGAAGTAATTTCGATTCTATAGAAATAATTTGAAGATTAGCAATGAGATTATGAGATATAAAAAATAATCAATGCAGACGTATTTCCGATTCATACTCACCACTACGATTCATTTTCATAACATTCCATTCCGCCTGAAATTTGTTGCTTAATACATTACAATAAAGGTAATTCGATTTTTTTATCGTTAGTATGATACTGCGCCAAGTATCAAGAATTCGACACGTGAAGATGCTTAATTTTACTGCGTCGATGATGCACATGGAATTGACTAGATAAAGATAATATCCCATCACGGGGATTTATTTTTGTGATACTGCGCCAGTTGTACGCGTGATGATGGTCTGTGATTTTCTCGGCGAAGATCAAAATGTCAATATATAACAAGAAGAGCAATATGACCGAAATTTTCATGGACATCTGTAGAGTTGGAAAAAATTGATTAACATCATGATGACATGTCTCAAGAAGTTATTCGAGCAATAAACAACTTACTTTATTATTACTTTGCGGAAAATACGAGTTCGTTTGATTGTTAATATCAATGATGCAAATAATGGTAAGTTAGATTGGTTTTATTAGTTTTATTTGATTTTTATTTTACTTGCATGAGGTGGATAAAAAGATTCACTAACTAGGACATTATCTTTTTATATAATTTACAGGATCGATTTTGGAATACGCTTTTGGGGGAAATTACGTCGCATTACGAAAACCTGATCAACTGCCTCTCCTTATGTAAAGATCATCAAGGGGCCCATTTTAATAATAATATACGTAATAATTTTGAGAATATGCGAGAAAGTTTAGGAATAAATTATTTTGCACAATTACTTGCTCCCGTTATACATGTGACGTTTACTATAATATTACTGCGCATTTATCAAGTTCTGGATCAATGTTTTCATTACAATAAAACTTGATCAAAAAAATATTAGCATATATGCTTTCCACAACCCCATAACTAGCAAATTTGGCCCTTATTGCGTCTTTGCTTTATTGAAAAAATACATAATACAGGTTACATGATGACACTACTTCAAACTAAAACGATAAAAAAATTTCATATGAGCGAAGCATTATACAATATAATTTTCGAAATCCTAAATGAAAAAATTGTCTATTAGCTTGTTGCTTCCTTGCAAATGCATAACACAACTGAAAGTAAATCTATCTTAACTGCATAAATGTCTTGTCTGGAAGTTTCCTCTCCAGTATTTTTTTCGCCGGCATCTTATTCGGAAGATATGTATTTGGAAAAAAAATCTTCCATCACATAGCCCCGATATTTGGTGATCGATTTCATATAACCAGTCTAAGTCACAATCGTGAACTTGAGTTTATTGCTTGAAGTGTTGCAGGTAAGACAATATTCCAACTTATCTTGGAAATACAATTTTGCTAACT